AACTAGAAATGGAAAATTTTTGATAATAATATGCATGATTAAGTCACTATGCAGTATATTCTGGATGGGAAATCACATTTTGTATGCTGTGATGATGCTGAGGGAAAGAATGTAAATTAAGTTAAAAAAAAGTTTCAGGAAAAAAAACTAAAACTGTTTTTCTTGAAATTAAAAAAAATGCGTTAAAAATACCTGTTTGATGCCTTCAGTAAGATATATAGCCCCATCTAGGTGCTACTTTATAGGATGTTCATTCTACTCACTGAGGCTTATGCATAAAGTTGGACTTGTGTTCATGGTAATGTTTATATTTCAGTTAAAGCTGTGCTTGCTATGAAAATATTTAGATTAATTAAGATCTTTAGTGACTCAGTAAAATGTGGGTGCGGGAGGAAGTATAGAAAGCAAACATAGATACCAGAGACAGTGTGGGAGGAGAGTGGGAGACGGCCGAGGGTAAGAGGGAATCAAGGATGGAAAAAAAAAAGCAAAACATACAAGAAACAAGAAATTGAAAATTATTTGTTGACAGTAACATGTATGTTGATGTGCTTGATTGAGCCAATATACAGTGTACTCTGGATGGAAAATCTCCCTTTGTATGCTGTAATGATGTACAGTGAATGAATGTACATAAATTTAATAAAAATGTATAATTTAAAGAAAGTAATATACAGATTCAATACAATTACTTATTAAAATACAAATGACATTGTTTGTTGATAGAAAAGCAATTATAAAATTTGTATGGAATCACAGTTGACTTTGAATAGCCAAAGCAATTTTGAGCCAACATGAAGGCAGTTAGAGGCAGCATACTACTGGATTTCAAAATATACTTAAAGCCATAGCAATAAAACATCAAAGTGCTGATGGAATGGTAAAGGAACGCAGACCAATGGAACATAGTAGAGAAACCAGAAGTGAATCTGCTAGATAGTGCTAGTGTTTTTTTTTTTTTTTCCTTTAGTGCAACAATATGCTAGCAGTCTAGAGCTAGCTCTTTTTGATGAAGGTGCCAAGAACATCCACTAGACAAAAGAAAGTATCTTCAATAAATGGTGCTGGTAAAAATGGACATCCATGTGCAGAATAATGAAGCTATACCCATACAAAAATCAACTCTAAATGGAGTAAAGACTTTGCATTTAAGTTTGAACTATGAAGTTACTAGAAGAAAACATAGAGGAAACACTTTAGAACATTGGTAGTCATAGGCTTTTGAAAGGAAGTGGATGAATATGGAAGACTTACTGCTGAGTGGAGCAAGCCATGCTATGAAGGAGAGGCATTGTATGTCCCCACTTAATATATACCGAGTGTCTGCACTCTAAAAAAAAAAATTGAAACCATACTGCTTCTGTTGTTAGTATTTTGAAATTTTGAAAGTTGTTTGTAAACTGTCAAGAACTATGGAGTATGAGCTAAAACTTTTTGCTATGTAAAGTAAATGTTTGTGGAAAAATGTAAAAATAAATAAATGAAAGAAAAAAATTTAAAAAAAGAACATTGATAGATACAAAGAGTTCATGAATAAAACTTCTAAAGCCACAGGCAATATGAGCAAGATAGAAAAATGGGATTATGTCAAACTAAGCTTATGCACAACAGGTTAAATAATCAAGAGTAAAGAGAAAGCCCATATAATGGAAGAAAATATTTATATGTTGTCTATCTGACAAGCAATAAATAACCAGACTATACATGGAACTCAACTCTGTGGCAGAAAAACAATTATTTTTTCAAATGGGCAAACAACCTGAATAAATGGTTCTCAAGAAAAAAATGGTTCTCAAGAAAAAAATTATATACAGTCCAGTTTATAGCTGCTCATTAAGGTGGCTGGATCCTACATGACTGACCACACAGTTTGAGTCCTGGGCCCAGTGGCTTGCAAGACACACTGGGCGTGTGTACACAAGTGCCCGAAATTCTGAAATGAGGGAGAAATGGAGGAGAAGTGATTACAGTGTGACTATGCCCCATGGGGTGTGCTTTCTCACTTGCCCTCTGAATGCACACACCCTCTGACAGATTTTTAAAAAAATTCATATAAATGACCAATAAATATATGAAAAAATGCTCAGCATTACTAATCACTAAAAAAATGTAGATTGAAATTATAATGAGATATCATCTCACCCAAGTTAAAATGGATATGAAGAAGACATTAACTGTTGCTGGTGAGGATGAAGAAAAAGGGACACTCTTACACTGCTGGTGGAAATGTAAATTATTAGCAGAGCCATTATACAAAACAAATAGGAGTTCATTAAAAAACTAAAAATAGAACTTCTGTATGATCCAGTAATCCCACTACTGTGTTTATAACCAGAAGAAAGTAACTAAGTATGTTCCAAAAATGTCCGTACAGCATTGTTTACTGAAGTGCTATTCACAATAGCCAAGATATGGAAGAAATCTGTGTCCATTAACTGCTAAGTAGATAATATGTAGTGTGTATGTGATACACACAAGAGAGTACTATTCGGCTAAATAGACAAGTTTAGAGGACGTTATGTTAAGTGAAATAAGACAGGCACAGAAAGAGAAATAACACGTTTTACCTCATATGTACAAATTTTAAAAAAGGAAAAAAGCTTCATAATAGTAGAGGGATAAAGAAATGATCTGGAGAAGATGGCAGGAGTCAGGGGTGAGATATTTGTTTATAGAAATGAAATTGCACATGATAGGTGAAACAAGTTCTAGAGTTATAAAACACAGTGAGGAGAATATAAATGGCAGCAACTTGCTACAAGTAACTGAAAAGATTCTGAATGTTTCCAGACAAGTATTGTCAAATGGTTGAGATAATGGGTGTGCTAATTATCATGAATGAATCAGACATTGTATCCCCACAAATAGGTACAATTATTAGTTAATGAGCAATAATCTTGTACCAACAAAACAAAATAGTAAATGGTTATGAGAAATTTTATTCTTCCAAATATTTCTTTATTTCTTCTGGCATATTCTTTTAGTGATTTATCTAGAGGAATTGCTTAAACCTTGGGTTTTACATTTCTTTGAGAGGACACAGAAAATTGCCAAGATGTGGTTTAAACAAAACGTATAGTATTTATATTTTAATTTTTATATATATTTTCAATAACAGCAAACCCAAAGGAGTACCCCTGAGATGGAAAGACAGAGGGCTGTGTATCATCTAGCCACTAGGCTTATACAAACTGCTCGAAACTCCCAATTAGATCCAGACAGTTTACGAACATATTTAAGTAATCTCAAGAAAAGGTATGAAGAAGATCTGCCCAGAGCTGAAGAAGTTCCAGAAAAGACTGAAGAATAATAATTCATATCTTATACTAATCAGATAATATGTCTTAATATGAGAAAGCTAGAATTCATTTTTCTACTGAGAGTAAAAAAAATATTTGCTACCTGTTATATTTTAATTAAAAATTACATTATTTTAATCCTAGAATTACCATCTTTATATTCTACATGAAAATTATATTTTTACTTAACAAATGAGAACTACTTAATGATTTTTATGTTAGAAAAAAATTGGTATAATATCCTTTTTCTCATTTATGAAATTTCACGTTATTCTTAAATTATACTTAGAAATTATAGCTTAAAATATTATTTTAAATACCTTTGCAAAAAAACTGTCTAGGCTTGGAAACTTATTTGCATTTTTCTTTTACATTCCATTCTAAATTAATATACCCTATGACTCAATAATTTCTTAGTTAATGTCACCAAATTCCAACATGGGCTAGTTCCATAGTTAATTAGAATGATTTGGAAATTTAAAATATTCTTTTTGACATTCAGTATAATTCAGAATATACATTGGAACCATTTATTCAATAAACTATAGCATTCATAGTAATTTAACCAAAAAATTATTTGTAGACTAATTGAGGGTTATATTTTTTGTTTATATATGCTTATTATATTTTATAATATTAATATTTGTTGACTTCAGTAAATTCTTTTTCTTTATTTTAAATAAACATTAGGTGCCAGATATATTAAAAAGTTATAATTGAAATGATATACATACTTTTGTAAAAATTAATGTAAATTAATGCTTTATATTTATTATATATTAAATGTTTTGCTAGACTACTTATATTTCCTATTGTCATGTTTTGGAAAGAGAGTATCACAGTATTTGAATGTAACCATTAGCCACTTTTTAATCCTCAGCCTTCAAAATGAATTATATTTTATTTGGTTATCCCTAAAAGTAGTTAGCTAATCTAGGCTTGTGGCAAATTTCTAGAAGGCACTGATCAAGGAAGAGCAGGGCATTGCAGATTGTTTGAAAGGGTAGGAAGGAAAAGGGAAGATGCAGTAACAGGCAGAAGGGGAAGTAGAAGAAAAACAGGCAAGTAGAGACAGGTGCAGAGTATCAACTATGCTGAGTATTATTTGTTCAAATGCATTAACTTCATTTTAGATTTAACACTAATGTTAGATTCCACTAGGCTTCGAAGAAATTTTTCATCACTTAGAGCAAAAACTGCAGCCAACTAATTAATGTCTTTTATTTAAGCTTTGAGATACTGAAGTAAAAATAGATTTATGTTTTCTTAAAATTAACTTGCTTTTTCTTAAAACATTTTGTATATCGCAGAAACATACCGAAAAGTAAAACAAAAAATATAGTGTCATGGTATTATGTTTCTCCATTCACCCCTAGAATAGAGAATACTAGTGAGACAATTCATTCTTTAATTTTAAGATTTGATTTTACTCTTCAGTTCCTCTTTGCCTTTGCTTTTCTATAAAACTGTAGAATATTATCTCATAATCCAAACTTTCAAGAAATATTCTCATAATGTTTTAGCAAATTCCTTTGATTTCCAACTCAACATCATTCTTTTAGACAGCTATATCTTTCTGCTTACAGGGCAAAATTCTACATAAGATAATCTTTTCTAAGTTCAGGAGTAAAGTATGTAGTGGTGGAGAAGAAATGCTTCTTATACTAATGCGCAGGAAGAAATGTATTTATTTTTCAACTTACATACAGAAAAATTAACTCTTTTTGGCATACTGTTTTATGAATTTTAGGTTATTTGTAGACTTACGTTATCACCATCACAATAAGGATACAGAACAATTTCATCTCCCCAAAGAGTACCTAGGTGCAGTCTTTTTGTAGTCAAATTATTCTCTGATTTTTAACTTTAACCCATCAATGAGAAACTTATTTTTTTGTGTGTGCAGTTTCTTTTTTTATTCTAGAATATTTCAATAAATGGGATTATATAGTGTATGACCTTCAGAGACTGGCTTCTTTAATTTTGCATAATGCATTTGAGATTTATCCACATTTTTGTGCCTTTTTATTGCTGACAAGTGCTCCATGGTTTGGATGTGCGATAGTTTGTGTATCCATTAATTTACTGAATGACATTTGGGTTTCCAGTTTTGGATTATTATGAATAAAGCTACTATAAATCTTCCTGTGAGGTTTCTGTGGGAGCATAAAATTTCATTTATTTAGATTAAATGAGCATGAATTGGCTGTTGGTTAACTGTATGTTTAACTTCTTTTTTTATAATTATTTATTTTATTTATTATTATTTTTTAATTTGACCAGAGCGAATCACAGAGAGAGAGAGAGAGAAGGAAAGTGAGAAAGTAAGCTACCAGGTCCAGGACTCAAACTGCATTCAGCCATGTGGGAGTCCAGTACCTAAACAGCAGTGCCACCTGTGGGTCCCTATTTAACTTCTTATAAAGCTGCATAACTCTTTTCCAGAGTTATATATACCAGTTTGCATTCTTAGCCATGTGTGAGAATTCCAGTTACCCTTCATGTTCACTAGTACTCTATATTGTCAGTTTTCTTTTTCCTTTTTAGTGTTTTTTTTTTTTTCTATATAGCACATGTACTTGCTGGAAAGAGACAGCGAGAGACAAAAAAAGGAAAAGTGAATCACTAAAGATCTTAATTAATCTAAATATTTTCATAGCAAGCACAGCTGATATATACATTTCCATGAACATATTTTGTATGTTGTAATGAAGTACAATGAATGAACGTAAATAAATAAATTTAAATTTAAAAAAAGAAAACAAAAAAAAAGAAACCAACAAAAAAAAAAAAAGTGAGAAATCACCCCCTCTCTTGGGGGGATTATGGATGGCCATTATGCAATCCTTTCTCCTCCATTCTTCTCTTGGGATCTTGAACATGTGCCTAGTGTGATTTTTAAGCCACCAGCCCAGAGACTCGAACTGTGGTTGACCATGTGGGAGTCGAGTGCTTTAACCACCACATTCTGGCCTTCAGTTTTCTTTTCTTTTTTCTTTTTTAAATTTAGTATTATAGTAGATGTGTATTCAATGCTTTTTTTAAAATTGAAGTTATTTTGATAGTGTTTTACCCAGCAGTGATTTTTTTTACTTTATTTTATATGTAATATAAAATACTACTTTTAGCCTACTCTTTAGTAGCTAATTTCTAAATATGTCCCTTTAAATAAAAGTTTTAGAATCAGTGCTATTTTTAGAAAGCAACAAAGCAAATCTAATTTAATAAATACTTTCTGTGGACTAGGCAATATAATAGGTGTTAGGAGTATAAAAGATAGAATATCTGACTTTGAGGATCTCGGGTATAGTATAGAGAAAAACCACTAATGTTAGTATTGGATAACCATATAAGTACAACAGAGGAATGTACAAAGAGTATATAATTTTTGTGGGTAAAAATATTTTAAAAGTAAAATATTTCAGATATTTGGGAATGAAAGTGCATTTTAAATTTACTTTGCTTTTTTTAAAAACTGCCAGAGGGCATGTGCACTTGTTGGCAAAGAAGAGAGAAAGCACCCTTATGGAGAATCATCATCCTACAATCCCTTCTCTTCAATCTCTCCTTCCTTTTTGTGATTTTGGGCATGAATACACATGCACCTGACATTTTTCTCAAGTTGCTGGATCTGGGATTTGAACTGTTTGGTAGGCCATGTGGGATCCAGCTGTCTTAACTGCCAGGCTTTGGGATGGCCCCAGGAAAGGGCATTTTATATAAAAGGATTAAAATAAGTTAGGTGCTTTATATAAATTTCTCATATAGACTACTTTAGAGTTTTAGGGTATGTTTGTTTTGGGGGAATGGTAGTATTGGGGGCCTAACATGACTAGATTTGCATTTTAGTAAGATCATCTGGGTTGTAGTATGAATGATGTTTGACATGAGAGGGTGAAACCAGACTGAAGGAAGTTGTTTTAGTAAAGTAGATGAGAAAACTAGAAACACTGAGAATGTGACAGTTGTATGGAGAAGGAAAGGACAGTGGAGAGGTTAGAATGCTTGGTTAGGGAGAGGACATCAATTGGAAATACAGTAAGGTGATTTAGTGACTGATTAACTTTATTTAGTAACTGATCTGTTTTTTTTTTTAGTGAGGGGAAGGTATGGTGAGTTAAATTTTGTCCTACATCCCCCAAAATATTTTGAAGTTCTAACCTTTAATACCTCATAATATAAACTTATTTGGAAATCAGATAATTTCAAACGTAATTAGATAAGATGAAGTCATACTGGAGTAGGGTGAGCCCCTAATCTAATATGTCTGGTATCTTTTTTAAAAATTAGCTAAATAAAATCATAGGGAAAATGACGTATGAAAATGGAGAATTTGAGTAATCTGTCACAAGCAAGGAATGCCAGAGATGGTTGGAAAGCCCCCAGAAGCTAGGAAAAGGCAAGAAAGGATTTCTTTACAGGAACAAGGACCTGGTGGCACCTTAATTTTGGACTTCCAGATTCCAGAACTGTGAGACAAGAAAATTCTATTGTTTTAAGCCACCCACTTTGGGGTACTTTACTATGATACTCTAGAAAACTAATACAGAAGGTAAGAGTTAAATATGATTTTGGGTGATGATATCATCAACCATGTTGAGAAATATGGAAGGAATCAGAATCTTAGTGGGCAAGAGTTCCTGGAATTTAGATGCTGCTTATTGTCCAGTCTGTAGATTAAGTCTGGGCCATACTCAGTAAAAGTGGTAATTCACGGAGGGCAATCGGGGATGACAGGGACAATGTGGGAGGAGGATGGGTCATAACAGAGGGAGGGGGATGGGGAATCTAGGATGGTAAAACAAAAGGCAAGGTATGCAGGACACAAGAATTGGGAAATTATTTGCTGAGAACATATATGTTGACGTGCTTGATTGAGCCAATGCACAGTATATCTTGGATGGAAAATTCATTTGTGTGTTGCAATGGGAAAAAAATATATAATAAAAAATAAACTATAAAAAAAAAAAGAAGAAGAGGATAGAGAAAGATAGCAAGTGAACAATAAAGAGGATGTTAGTGAGAAACAGATATAGTTTATTATCTGTTGAAGATGACGTGTATAGTATTCTCAACTGGACTGGTCTGGGAAGTATTTCATGATGGGTGAAGTCTTTTAACAAGCAAAATGAGAAATAGTGATTGACTGTTTTAAAAAATTATAATAATAATAATTATTGGGAAATGCATGGAAAAGACTTTGAATGATAAAGCGGGGAGATCGATGCCTCTGTATTGACTGACATGCATGGCATTCCCTTTTGAAAAAGCAATGGAAGTCAATGTAAAGTTATATGTAATCCAATGTAATAAAAAAAATAAAAAAAAAAAGAAACACATGCATTTATTAACTGAATAGAATACAGCTAAAAATAAACGTATATTTGGTTTCAAAAAAAAAAAGAATATTACATAAAAACTAGACCAATATCCTTCATGAACACAGATATATAGAAATCCTTAATACGATATAAGCAAAAAAAAAAGGTCAGCGATATATCAAAATGAATAAATCTTGACCAACTAGTTTATCCCAGGAATATGCAGTTTACTATCTGAAAATCAAAGTAATTCACCATATTGGTTGTCTTAAAAAACAACACACACACCATTTGATGATATCAGTAAATGATGAAAAGACATTTGACAAATCTGACATTCATGATACAAAGTCTCAGCTGACCGAGAATTAAAAGGAACTTCAACCTGAGAAAAGGTATTGACAGAAAGATCTACAGTTTGAACCAGCAGATGGCATAGTGGTTACACTGCTAGACTCCCACATGGCCGAACACAGTTCAAGTCCTGGATCTGGTGGCTTAAAACACACTGGTCGTGTGTGGGTGCGTGACCAAGATTCCAGGAGGAGAATGGAGAAGGGATTATGGCATGGCCATCCCTCCTGGAAGGTGATATCTCACTTTCCCTCTCACTCTCTGTCTCTTTCTCTCTCTTTGGCAAGATACATACCCTAAGGCAAAAACTTCTACCCCCCCCCCAAACAAA